TCTACTACTTGAATATCAGGACTATAATACCCACAGAGCAGCATTCTTACAGGTAAGGAAATACGATAAATATGATTCAAAGAGACATACAATCAATAACATTGCTGTAGTGTCTATTTGCACTTAACATTTATAGAGATAGCAGATTATGTTCTAATGACTGCTTTGGAATATTATCATATGGAGCTTTCTTAGGTTCACTTTCAGAAAAAAATCAGTTTGAGCATGAGTTTCCCCCCACTGCCACCCCCCTGCCACTCCTGATTTGGATTCAGGAGCATCACTAAGGGCAATTGAGTGTAGAGGGAGTATCCTTGGATGAGCTACACAGGTTGAAAAGAAAGATTACTACTGCATATTCCCTAGGGGGACACCTCTCTGACACTTTGAAAATATTAGGGCAGCATGATTTGAAAAGAGGTGAACCAGTCAAGCAGTGGTGAAGTCATGCACTGAAAACACTGGGGCAACCAATCTTCATGAAAAAGGTTTGGGTCATGGTCTTAACTACGATTTCATTTTGCTTTTTGAAGTTATTTAGTACTGCTCTAAGCAAATACACAATAATTAATATGACCACTATATTAAATGTCCTGGAGGAGATTAAACAAGAGGATCTTTGATGAAATTGAAAATTGGGACATCTTGGTGGGCAGGAAAAAGTCACAGAAAGCTGGATACTTACCATTCCTTGTAGACTGGGAAGCTGAGACACTTTCTCCCTTTGGGCTTGGGGGAAATCCCACCTACCAGTGGTTGCTCTGTCTACAGGAAAGACATTCTCTGCCTTGGGAGATGATGAATTGATTAGGTTCTAAACATGAATATATTTTTTAATTGTTTACTCTTCCCAAGCAGTCCTTGTAGGTAGATTACGATCAGGATTGCTCAACAATTGAAATGTGATAGGTGATGCAAAGACAATGAATATGGCTAGAATTGATAAGTACTTAATGGTAGAACAGAACAGGAGAAAGGCAATCATCCTTAAACAAAAATGTGCAGATAGATATGAACGAAAGCTAATGAATCCACTCATAATAACATCTTTCTTTCTCTGTAAGAGAAATATGATTTTATATCTCCTTTGCATAACGCACTCACTTTTGTATTGGTTGAAATTCACCTATTTCTTTGCTGAATTTTACTAATGGCTAGAATGTCCTGGCCATGCAAAGTGATTATTATAACAATAGCTAAAGGCCAGTTAAAAGTAAGGGTGAGATACAGTATTGTCCACTGCCAAACATTAAATGGCCAAATGTTCTTGAAGTTATGAAACTACACTCAGGACTTGCTTTGAATGAAAGATCAGAGAAAACAAACCAGAACTGAAAGAAAGATTCTACATCTGGAACCCAGGGACACTGAAGTAAGTCTTAATAGGGCTGATGTATATTTTTGAGAAGGTGAAGTTTTGTCACTATCACAGATGGAAAGGGCTTCCTCATCTACTTGAGGAAATCTTCTAGTTGCTTCTATAGAATCTTCACTGATAGAGGGACTGAATCAATATCTGTGAACAAATTAAAATTTTCTTACAAGTTGAGAATTGCTGGGCTACTGCTGAAGTCTTAATTAGTCAAGGATGCTTTGGTCACTGAATTACTATTTTTTCTGTTTAAAGAAGTAAATATTAGCATTCATTTTATATTAAACCAAATATTAAGTGTCCAGGAGACATCTCAATTGCTTGATCTAAGAAAAAATGTTTAAATTTTACCTTATTTTCTTCACACATGAAAGTGTGACTACATAATGATGTAGAGGAATTCTAATGAAAAATTCAAAGGTGATCGGATGAAAAAAGTATCATGTACCCAATAGAAAGTTTCTGTCTATTGAGGTATGAACTAGATCCACTGATAATTATGTAAACTCTCAAAGAGATACCCAAATTCTAGAGACTGTTATTTTTCTCTACAAATGCTTATTTCAATTTTGGTGTCACCTCTTCCCTCACTGTCTTGATTATATGGTATATGAGATCTACAACTTATAAAATTAAAGAGTCAAATTATTTTTGCTAGGCAGAGCTCTGGGAATTGAAAGCAATATAGTGCATGATACTAAAGAAATATATTACTTAAGTACGTTTTAGCAAGCAACGATTCTTATGATCACTTTTATTAAGATTTAATTGATATAATACTATGTATGCTAAAAAGTTGTCTGACAGTTATTTATGGTTTTGTGTTCTTAGATGCAGGAAGGATATAAATAGGATTGGAATAAAAGATGTGATACACTAACATCCTATATTTTCTTCAGCATAGTAGGATAGAAAATATTCTGGTACTATGCTTTCCTGAGACATTAAAAAGAGAACATTGTTTCACCAAAGGGTTCACATTTGCAAAAGTTTGAATACTGGATGTCTTTCTTTTGGATGAGGATATCAATTGCACAATAATACCTTTTTGGTCTTTATTTCTTCAAAACATGAAAACAAAAATGACACAGATGACAATGAGAATAGAGAAAACATTCCATACACAATATGCTGTAGCACTAACGATGAAATCAAACAATTAGAAACTTTATTTGTCCGTGTCAATGTGTACCATTTATAAGGAATAGCACAAGTAGTGTAGTTTCCCCCTAAAGCTGTGCACAATACACACAAAATAAACAAAATGAAATAATTTTACACAACTATTATCATTAATAACAACCCTGAATAACCAGAATCATGTTTCCTCTATAGCATGAAAATTTGAAAAGCAAAAGAACAAAAAAGCTTTGAAGTTGAAATTGACCAATAGCAAGAATTTTTTTTTAAGTCCTCTCTGAAAATTTGCTATGGGGTTGATGACATTCCAAACATGGCTAAAAATGAGTGCAAACTCTAACGTTTAAACAACTTACTTGGTGTTTCTAGGCTAGCTTTTCACTTAGTAAACATCCAGAACAAAACCACAAAAGGATGGATTAGAATGTTCCCCACAGGAGTTAGGGCACCAGGTTGTTGGGCCACAGCAGGTTAGAGGTGGGATCCCCAAGAGAGATGAGGTGTGGGTTGTAAAGTACTACTGTCACAAAGATTAAAAACTGGGATTGACTTGGTCTTTCCCATGATCTGGGTCTCTGAAAAGACTGCCCTTTTGGGTTTAAGATGCAGATATGTGCAAGGATAAAGGTGATTTTCCAAACCCATGCTTTCTACTCTGTTAGGTAAACAAAATCTTGAATATTTGGACATCTGTATTTGTATGGTTTCAAGGTGTTTTATGTTCAGAGTTACATAATTGTAGTTTTTTCCTAGCAAAATATGACTGTCTCCACATGGCTGTCTTAACTTTTATGAAAGGAAAGAGCAATCACATTAACTGTCATCCCCCCGAGGGCAGGATCTGGGCCAGCTTGTTCATGGCTTAGTCCCCAGGAGGCAGCATACTGCCTGGCATCTTGAATGGGTAACCAGGATTTAATTACTCATTCAGTAGCCAGGTGTTTTTTTCAAATGACAAATGATCAAGATTACTGAATAGAAGAAAGGACATATATTTCAGCAGGGTTTATTTCTTAAGTATGAATCAACTCAGAAGGAGAGGGATATGTCCAGCATGGGATTCCTTAGAAACAGAGGAGTCTGGGGGAGGTGTTACTACTTCGAAAGGTGGGTTTATCCATGCTCTTTGGTATTTATTTTGAGATGTAGCCATTCCTATGCTCCTGGGAGGTGCTGATCTCACTGAATTGCCCCCTCTGGAGTCCTAACTAGAGGAGAAAAGACCCACTGGAAACCCTAACTTTTTTTCTATTCAACATGGCTAACCACTGATAGAAGAGTCTTGATGGGATGATGAAGGAAAAAGGGCTCAAAATAGCCTTTTACATAAAAAAAATAAGCTGAATAAACTGGTAGTATCTACTATCTGTGCCAGACAGAGCAGATATGTAATAAATACTTGGAGGCAGGGTAGGTGGGGGTGTGGAGACGGTGGTTCTGACAGCCCAGGCACATCTAACACATCCACTTCTCTACCATGCCTTTTTCTTTGGCCTTCCTGAATTCACAAGTGATTCTTAGAGGCCTTTGATATGTTCCACATGGCTGCTTCTCTATGAAGATCCTTATAGTTCGCCAGCTACCCTCTCAATAACTTTAACTTCTCCTCATGTGACAGTTATTGCTTCTTAGAAATGAATGTGCAGATTCATGAACAATAAGCCATTTTCTCCTTGTATCTCTACTAATCATCAAACTCAACAACAACACAAAAGTAACAACTGAGGTGAAAGGAAACTCACTTATGTCTTCAATGTCCAATCAACATTGCTGAATGGGAGAACAGTATATGCTATACTCTATTATATACAGATACGCTTTGATTTATTTGTTTTTCATCCATGCACGGTGTAACAGGTATCACAACAACATTCCCAAACAGGCACATGAAGAAGAAAGCAAATGTTAAGTCATGACTGGAACAGGAGTGTGCAAGCCATGGATGCCTTTGAAAATAAAATGGACAGACAATCCCAGGCAACATGGGACTGCGACACAAATGGATGCAAATGGAAAAAGAAGATGTGCTTTTTGAATGGGTTATTCTTACTGTTTGCATGTTAGGGGCAAGTGAGCAGGAGGAGGAGGGGTGGGATGGGACACCTGCAGGGGGTTGCTGGGCTGGAATAAGGGCCTTGAGAGTCACAGTCCAGAGCTAATGAGATAAGAAACACATAATTTTGCAGGTTCTTGGGAATCTAGGCACGTTAAGCCTGTACCTGTTGAACAAGAGTGCCAGGCATAATATCCTTAAATATCAGACTATTTCTAGAACCATCAGTGTTCCTGGCTCCATTTCGGCTCCCATGCTTCTTCTTGGAGGCAGTTTCACCTCTGCTTACATTCTGAAGATAAGCATAGAATTTAGAAACACAGCGAACATATGCTTCTTTCTTCTTCCTTGCCCAGATCCTTTCTTAATCCAAATTAACTTTTAAAGTGTATGGGGGAGGTGGGGGAGATATTAATGCCTTTTTTTTTTTTAATCAAAAACCCAGTTACATTTGGATGGGTCATCACTTCCTATAAAGAGAAGCAAAACCTTGATCTTCCCAAGAAAACAAAATCAAACAAAAGCCAGATATTAACCACCTCCCCAACCGCACTGAAAACAACATCAAAAACAAGAAAACATATCAAAGCCTTAGCAATTTATGAACCTGGAGAGTACAGCCCTGCTAGGCTGAGCTGCAGTGATGACCCTGCTGCCATGTCTTGTTCAACATGAAGATGCCCCGGGAATGGGAGGTGATGGTTTCTCACTTCGGCCCTAGTACAGAGTATGCTCTTGAAGCTGGATTCCATCAGCAGGTAAGTGAACATGACAAATGTCAGTTTCCTCTGTTCATTATACATAATTTTTATGTATATATATGTATATATATATATAAATTTGCTATATCTGCTTGTTCCTTTAGAAGCCTTTTATGTGGCAGTAGGCCTCCAGGGAGGAGAAGAAAATGTACAAGAGCCACAGGAGCACAAAGAGGCAGGATGTGAGGAGCTTGGCAGTCCGGGGCCCACCCAGCTCACCTCCGATTTCTGGCCTCCGCCGATACAGCAGCACCCCCACATTGATGAAAGCAAAAATGGTGAAGAGAGTGACCGAGAAAGCTAGTGTGCCAGGGGACACTTTGAAGTGTTCCCCGTTGGCCGCATGGTAGATGGCAGCGATGGACCAGGCCACTCCGATTCCCAGGAACACGTTCACCGCGTTGCTGCCAGTGACGTTACCTATGGAGGCGTCTGCGTACTGGTCCTGGGTGGCAGCCACTTTGCTGGCAAAGGTGTCTGCAGAGGAAGAAGAAAAAGGCAATGACCGTCAATTAACTGCTCAAAGATGTCCAGAGTGCTGGGCGCTTCAGCTGTGTATGCTCGAATCAAATCCTGATTATAGGCCGGCGCCACGGCTCACTAGGCTAATCCTCCGCCTTGCGGCGCCGGCACCCCGGGTTCTAGTCCTGGTCGGGGCGCTAGATTCTGTCCCGGTTGCCCCTCTTCCAGGCCAGCTCTCTGCTGTGGCCAGGGAGTGCAGTGGAGGATGGCCGAAGTGCTTGGGCCCTGCACCCCATGGGAGACCAGGATAAGTACCTGGCTCCTGCCATCGGATCAGCATGGTGCGCCGGCCGCAGCGGCCATTAGAGGGTGAACCAATGGCAAAGGAGGACCTTTCTCTCTGTCTCTCTCTCTCTCACTATCCACTCTGCCTGTCAAAAAAGAATAATAATAATAATAAAAATCCTGATTATAAAGCCGGCGGCCAAGACTAAGCTTGGTTTTCTGAATCTGTTTTGTGTTTAAAAGAACAAGATCTAGGGTTTGGGGTGTTGAGGGTTTGTTACTGATTGAGAAATAATCTTGGTCAAATTATTTTATTTATTTTAAAGATTTGAGAGAAAAGAGACAGAGAAGTCTTCCATCTGCTGGTTTACTCCCCAAATGGCCTCAGTGGCCAGAGGCAGGCTGATCTGAAGCCCGAACCTTCTTCGGGCCTTCCACTGTGGTTGCAGGGGCCCAAGCACTAAAGCGATCTTCCAGTGTTTCCCTAGACTGTTAGCAGGAGCTGAATCAGAAGTGGAGCAACTGGGACTCGAACCAGTGCTCTTATGGGAAGCTGGTGCTGCAGGCGAAGGCTTAACCTACTATTCCACAGCACCAACCCCTGATCAAATTCTTCTTTAAAAAGCGCAGGTTAAGCTACCACCTCTGATGCTGAGTCCCATAAGGGTGCCAGTTTGAGTCCTGCTTATTCTGCTTCTGATCCAGTTTCCCGCTAATGCACCTTGGGAAGGCAGCAGAAAATGGTCCAAGTACTTGGGCCCTTGGCACCCACATTGGAGTTCCAGGTTCCTAGCTTCAGCCCGCCTAGCCCTGGCTGTTGCACCATCTGGGGAGTGAACTACCATACAGAAGATGGATCTCTCTTTTTCTCTGTCCCTCCCCGCCTCCTTCTCCTGCACTCATTTTCCCTCTCTGTAACCTTCCCTCTCTGCCTTTCAAATAAATACATCTTTTTAAAAATAATATGTATTATTTATTTATTTGGAAGGCAGGGAGAAAGAGCAATTGACCTTCTATCCATTGGTTCACTCTCAAAGCTTGTAACAGGCAGGGCCAGGCTGGGCTGGGGCTGGGAGCCAGGAACTCCATCTGGTTGCCCATGTGGATGATAGAAATCCAAGTACCTGGGCTATCCTCTGTTTCTCCAAGACACAACAGCAGGCAGCTGGATTAGAAGTGGGGGGTAGCTGGGACTCATAGCAGGTACCCCAATATGGGATGCAGGCATACTAAGAAGCAGCCTAATGCAGTGAACCACAATGCCCATCTTGTTGGCTAAATTCTTTATCCACAGATATCACATTTCTTTGTAATATTCTACTTGCAGGGCAGCATTTTTCAGAGAGTCATCCCAGTCCATCTACAACAGAATCAAGTGGGCTCTGTCTAAACAGTGGGTATTACAAGGCTCCATCCAGCTATGCTGGGTGAGGGAGAGGGAGAGATGGGGGTGGAGAGGGAAACAGGCTTCTTCCGTACAGTAGTCCCCTTCCTACATGGCTGCAACAACCCGGGCTAAGCCAGGCTGAAGCCAGGAACCTGGAATTCCATCCAGGTCTCCCATGTGGGTGGCAGGGGCCCAAGGACTTGGACCATTTTCTGCTGCTTTTCCAAGGTGCATTAGCAGAAAACTGGATCCTAAGCGGAGTAGGCAGGACTCAAATCATTATGACCCAGGAATCCATTTTAATAATATCCTGAGAGATGCTAGGTCATTGGAAGCTGTGCACAGATGCTGGATGATATTAGTAACAGGTGCTGTATCAGCATCTGTAGTTTATAGATAAAGTGAAGGGATCAGGAGAGATTTCTAAACATTTAAGAACAAGTCAATAGTGGAACTGACAAGAATTAAATTCTGATAATAGCTGAAATTTGTCTAGAGCTTTATAAATAAGATTTACCTATGTTACTCCATTGATGATGATAATTCTTTTTTTGTTTTAAATATGAATTTACTTATTAGAGTTGGTCAAGCAGGGAGAGAGAGAGATCTTCCATCCTCTGGTTCACACCCTAGGTGGCAACAGCACCTGAAACCTGGAGCCAGGAGCTTCAGCAGGGTCTCCCATGTGAGTGGCAGGGGCCCAAACACTTGAGCAATCTCCCACTGATTTTCCCAGGCCATTAGCATGGAGCTGGATTGGAAGTGGAGCAGCCAAGACATCCAGTGCTCATACAGGATGCTGGCATCACAGTCTGTGGCTTTACTTCTTCAGCCACAACGCCAGTCCTGATGGCGATAACAGTCCCATGGAATAAGAGAACCTTAAATGTGAGGAAACTCAGCTTAAGGATGATAAATAATGAGCATAGTAGCATCATAGAACTAGGAAGAAGCCAGGTGAGGGCTGGAGCCTCCACCACCTGTCTGCAAGGCTGATGCTTATTGTTTATCCTACCTTCCACTGTACCACAGGTCTCAGTGACTGTCCTCAAAGCATTGTGTTCATCAATAACCCTGAATGGGACTTTTCTCTGAAGACTGGAAAGTCATAGTCCACCACAGGGAGCAGGACCATAGTAACGTACACCTCCTGATAAGGAGAGCATGTTTGAGCCGAAGGGTTTCAAGTTTTGCCCTCGCAATGGACCGTGTGACCCTGGGCCTCAGTACTCATCTGTGGAATGGGGACTGCTGATGTGAACTTCAGATTCCTGGTAAGTTGGAAATGCTTGTTGTTGCCATTTTGGAAAGACCATACATACAGAGCAGCCTAGATAGAGGGGCAGGCATTTGGTATAGTTGGTTTGGTTGCTGCTTTTGACAGCCACATTCCATACTGGAGTGCCTGGTTTGTGTTCCGCTTCTGATACAGCTTCTTGCTGATGAGCACTTGGGAGGGTCCATGCTCCAGGCTTGGGTCTGTGCCACTGACATTGTACACCCAGACTGAACTCTGGCCTCCTTGTCTCAGCCTGACCCAGGTTTGGCTATTGCAGGCATCTGGGGAGTGAATCAGTGGATGAAAGATCTCTGTTTCCCTATATCTCTGCCTTTCAAATAAAATGATCGTAATAAACATTAAAAAATTGATGTAAGTATATAAACAGAACTTACAAGATTTCCAAATTTCTTGTCTTTATGATGCCTAGTTACGGATATAGAAGTCTTTCTGTTACCTTGGTAAAATGCCTGCCATGGAAAGTTTATCACAGATGTTGGTAACTTCCGAAGTGTGCTAATATTTGCAAAGGCAGTAATAACTAGTATTATATCACTACACGCATCTTCTCTGGTCCTTCTGGGGTCCCTGGCATACCCTGGGCATGTATGCAGTTGTATGATAGCTGAATTAGTTTCTCTCTTCCATTGCTATTCTGTTGCCACCATCTTCCCATTGGTAAACCCCCAATGGGATAGATATGTAAAGCAGGTGAATTTATATCAGCTTGTATGGTCTCATGCTTTATGATGGGAAGATTATTTAAGCTCTTCAGAAGCTACTGCATCTGAAGTGTTCCATTCTTTTTGAGAGGCAGTTCATCAACCCTCAGGGCCTATCTTATTGATTTTGATCTCTGTGATAAAAAGCAGGTTTTTTGATATTGACACTTATAAAATTGTACATATGCATGCAGTGCCCTGTGATGGTTTGATATATACATACATTGTAGAGTGTTCAAATTGGGATAAGCATATTATCTTAAATATTTATCATTTGTGATGGAAACATTCAAAATCCTTTCTTCTGAGCCTTTGACACAGTACATCATTATCTATTCACCGTATTGTACAATAGAACACCCAAACCTGTTGCTCCCATATAAATGTAACTTAGTTCCCATTGATCGTCTTTCCTGATCCCTCCCTCCCATTTATTCTCCCTAGCCTCTGATTACTATTCTACCCAACTCCTATGAGATCAACTTTTTTAGATTTTACATTAAGATCACATGATATCTGTATTTCTATGCCTGGCTTATTTCACTTAGCATAATGATCTCAAGTTCCATTTATGTTTTTTCACATGACAGCATTTCATCCTTGTTATGGCCAAATAGTATTCTATTGTATACCTGTACCACATTTTCTTTATCCATTCATTCACTGATGGAATCTTAGGTTGCTTCTATTTCTTGGCTATTGGGAATAGTAATGCAATACACATGGAATGCATATGTCACTTAGGTATAGAAAGCATGTTTTTTTTTTTTTTTACTATTTTAAAATTAAACTATGGCAAATACTATTTTGCTTTCATGCTAGGCACTTTGCTACACAGGTTACATGTATATATACTCATTCAACCCTCTTACAAGCCTATGTAGTAGGTGTTTTTTCCCTTTTATAATTTGAGAAACTGTGATGTGATACTATGTCTCTTGGACAGTGGCTTGGTTGGCAGGACAAGAATTTTTAAGCCAAATCTGTTTGATTTCCCAGCCCATTTTTGGTTGATCTGTTTCTTCTAGTTAGAAACTCTGAAGCAGGTTCTCACGGAACACTCTTTCCTCTATCAGGGACGATGAAGACTGGAGACGTGCATGCAGTTTGCTAATCCGTCCTCCTGGATTTGTGCTTTGTGCATACATGATCATACACGCTGCAGCCCCGTGGGGATTAGCAGAGAGAATTGAGTGGGAAAAAAAAAAAAAAAAGCATGACAAATCTTAATAGGCTCTTGCATTTCATTATTAGGCATTAGTAAGAGCTGCTGCAGCAGAAGCAGCTTACAAATTGAAGTTGTTTTCCTTTTCTTTTTCAAGGACAGGCAAAGGGGTAAAGT